TTGCTCGGTTGTTTCTACTGCCAATCTGCTGTCAAGTTATATCAGCAGATTGCTCGGTTTCTGCTCACAAACTGCTATCAGATTCTGTCAGCAGTTCTGTTTGATTTCTGCTGCCAGTCTGATTGTGTAGAATGTTAACAAATTTTGTCGGCAGAACAAGAGCAGAGTGAGACATCAGTTGTGGTCCGCTCACATCTCCTGATCAAATCTGCTACAAGTCTGTCGACATTCTGCTAATATTTTGCTATCTGGTTCATATGTAAGTCAATGTCTAGACAACTTCAAAGTCGAGACACAAAACATCTTTTTTTTTTAAGTATTTTTAAGACATCTTTAAGACGTCTTATGTTTTGTTTAATCCTTTAAGAAGATTTTAAAATAAAACTCGGACTCTGACGAGATCGCTATTTTATCGAAAATATAATACATCGACACATATCTTTAGATATATATATTACTGCATCAATATCTCACGCACACAATATTTAAATATTTAAATTTTCGTAGGACAATTGCATTTTAATTAAATATTTTCCAACTAACGTTAAATATTCATAGAAAGTTTGATTCATATTTTTAATGTGTTAAAGATTCCGGAACAGTAAAAAAATTACATTATGGACAAATATCGAATTGTAGCGACCTTTTTCACGGGTTTGCGCAAGCTATTCAAATTTCATGTGATCGATATCCAAGGTCCACACAAGGTTTACATTTGTAATCCGCAAACAAATTTGAATCAATTAACCGCCTGACATATTGTATAATGACTGGATAATTGCACGAGACTGAACTAATTCGGTATCAAAGAAAGATATTTCGCGACAATATCAAAGGGTTGTCATCTTACGATAGGCTACAGGAATTCCTTTTGGAATCGGAACGCTCACGAACTTGTTGCAAATGTTGTAACTGAGTTACGGACGGCACGTGGGTACTACTGCTGCTGCGCGAGTTTGTATGTTGCGGAGGCGGCAAAGATTGTCGACGACGACGTTGCAATGCCGGACTCAAATCATATTTCAACTTCGCTTGGATAAGAAGTTCCTTAAATATTTGAGAGATGTTGAGATTGTCCTTCGCAGATACTTCTACAAAGCCATTTTTCCATGTCGTGGTTACAAATTCTCTAGTTCTTTCGGTCTCCACCTATAATCAATCCATTTTACACTTATTGTAAACAATGAATACGTACAATATTTAACGTGCGCGTTTTATCAGTTTTATTTTTTAGTACATTTAAGTTTCCTCTCAATTATCTGTTATAGTTTTAATTTGTCATAAAATTTTTAACACTTTGACATCTGTGCCTAAAAACCGTATAATATATAGGCAAAGTTAAACTTTTATGTTATTGTAGGCTTGTTAAGAGTGTATAAATTTGTATAATATGTTCATGTTTTTATTATTATTTATATTATTCGATTTAGAAATATTCCTCATGAAGGAATATATTTATAAAAGTGGAAAAGAGGGGTTGATTTCTGTTCATAAAGGTATAAATAAAAAAAATTGTGTTTTTTTTTTATGAACGACCACGTATGATTTATATAAAAAAAGTTTTCAATCAATTTGCTTGAATTTTTTATACATTGTAGTTCTTGCATCCCTAATGAAAAATCTCAAGTTATAGCATTTCTATGTTTCTGAATTAAAAATATTTGAAAGTCTCTTTTAAGAAGTCTGTTCATACCATAGTGTGAACTATTCTGTTTTCAGATTTCAATAGCGACTACGGATTTTCAAATTCTTCCAAATAAAAAATTCTTATAAAACATTTAACAACGTTTAAAAAACCTGAATTTTAGTCAGACCGACACCGAAAAACCAAATCAAAAACTGAAAAAAAGTTTTCGGTTCGATTACGGTTTCGGTCGAATTTCTGGTTTCGGTCCGACTAAAATAACAATTTCGGTCTCTGATCTAACTGAAACTCACCTCTTTTTTTGTCTCTACAAGATCGATTTTGTTCCCAACGACTACAATCGGAACTGCTCCTTTTGTGCTGTGTATCTGGGCACGGAGTGTTTTCACCTCGAGAAATGTGTTTGAATCATTTACATCGTAAACTAAAATAAAGGCGCCAGCCGATTTGATGTAAAGCTCTCTCATCGCAGGGAATTCGTACCAGCCGGACGTATCGAGAATATCAAGTAATAAATGGATTCCAGAAACATTAAAATTTCCATGATGCATCTCCTCGACAGTCCGCTTATACTTTGGGGTAAAAGTATTGTATAGGAATTGATTGATGATTGCAGACTTGCCGACTTTTGCTGCGCCCATCACTACAATTTTGTGCCGAACTGAACTTTCGGACGACTTTCCACTATCACTGTTCGATTCTGTTAGTTTTTCATTTCTGTAATAGAAGTATATTTGTTATTAACTTGCATGTTGCTTTAAAAATACTTTTTTTTTTAAATCTTTCATATAATGAAATTTTTTTTCTTAAAGAAAAATACATTAACCTGCTTTGTTTCAATAGTTCTTATTATATGAACGTGATAGAGAGAGAGAGAGAGAGAGAGAGAGAGAGAGAGAGAGAGAGAATTCCGCGCATTATTTAAATAAATAAATAAAATTAAATTTATGATAGACAGAAGAAAACTCTTTCACATTACCTGATGTTCTTTGTTGTTCCATCCTCCTGTTCTTCTTTCAAGTGTGCTGAAGGTTGTAGGCTGAAGCGACGGCGAAATTGATGACGCCCTTTCATTATTTGTATCACAGAACTTCTAATAAAAAATTTACGTTTTATTAAAAAAAAAATTTATTTATAAAAAATAAATTTTGTATTTTAATTAACTTTAAAGAAAATTATATATCAATAAAATTTTTAATTTTAACTTATTTCAAATAATATATAGTAAACTTTCTCTTTTTATTCATTAATGTTTTCTCTAAAAGCGTGTTAATAATTGGAAAAAATTTATATAAGAAAAAATCCAAGAGAAGAAAGAATAATTAATGAAAATACATTGAGATAACTGAATATTTTCTACGTTTTTAATTTTATTAGATCTACGTCTTTTAGTTTTATTAGATCTGCGAAAAAATGTAATGAAGTAAAGAAATTATCTCTTCTTATATATCTTATTTGCACAAGTTTATAATAACAAAAATATATAATTAGTATTTTCTTATTAATGCTGATCTACACATGTTGAATTATATTTTAATAAATTCATAATAAAACAAGATTGGTACATATATATATGTAACATGTGATTTATACACTTGTATAAGAAAAGGAATAACATGCATAATAATAAACAACTACATTACGATTAATAAATATTTTGCAGATTACACAACACACACACACACACACACACACACACACACACACACACACACACACACACACAAGATTTAAAAAACGACATGTGTCATAAAAATTTATGTTCCAATAGCATTTTCAAAATTTATTATATTATACTTTTTTTCAAACGGTAATATATTTCAATAAATGTTGAAAAAATTATAATAATCAAGAAAAAAAGGGAACTCTTCAAGATAATACTAATACTTCATCAAAATGTGTAGGCAGCCTATTTTTACGATTTAATGTTCATAGCAGTATTTTTTTATCTGTAGGATTCGCCAGAATTTATCATCTAAGAATACTTTAGATTGAAAGGAGAATAATTACAAAGGTTGTTCTCGGGCATCCGCAATCTCCTCTTTTCTATACAAAAGCTGTTCAATACCGTCCAGTAGTATGATAAAATGTGTGCGAAGTATCCAACGTTATTACACGATGACCTGAGAATTACACAAATTCCATAAACTTTAATTCTCTATCGTAATATAAATGCAAATCTAATTTTTTAATGCATAATATATTGTCATAAATTTGAATTCTTATATGCTTCTATATAATACATATTATAAAAATAATATTCATGTAATATTTTATATCATTCATAGAATATGTTATAATACATAATAATAGTATATAATAATTTTATATATAATATGTTATAATAATAATAATTTATTAAAATGCAAACGAAATGAATTATTATGTATTGAGATGAAAGCTGAGAGAGCTGAGAGTGCAACATAGAACATAAACAATAACGTTATTTCCAAACATAAACCTCTAATACAATTAAAATATTAATAATAGTTTACAATGTAGAAGTAAATAATGGCTAAATACTTATAAACAAAAGTTAAAAAGGAGCATACAGCCAATACGGTTATATAATATCGGTTATTTGTTGCATATATTTAAAATAATCATTAATTCAAATTCATAAACGTTTCGGCTGATATTCGGCCTTCTTTAGGCCTTTCTATATTTTACAATTTTAAGTCAGAAGTTAAATAAGTTAAAAATTATAATTTAAAAATTATAAGAGATTAAATCTCAGTCCAATTATAATGTTCGATGGTCAGTTAATATAAGAAGTTGAGTGTATGAAACCGCATAAAGTTATTATGAAATAGTTGATTTTTGTGTAACTATTACAACGTAGTCTACTATTAATTGCAAATCCTTGTGTCGTAAAACATTTCCAATTTCTAATTTACATAATTACAAAATTAAGTTATATAAAGATTTCTTTTAATACATGATTATAAATCATCAATTGGTTTTTATTGATATTGTCTTGACGGCTCCTTCTGATACTATTGAGGATATTCAGAATATTTTCAATTCGTTACATGAAAGATTACAATTTACCATTGAAATCGGTACTTTTGGCAGATTGAATTTTCTCGATACCCACCATCATTATTGATAACAATAAAATTATCTTTGACAACAATGAATAATTTCTAGCGATGGAATTTTTAACAAGTCTCCTAAAGCCAAGAGACTACGCGCTGCTACGTGCGATGACGTTACGTAAAACATGGACATACGAACGTATAGACATATTTCAACAATCAATGCCATTTATGAATGATAGCGACATTTTTTGTATAAGAATTAGATTTGAAATTGATTTTTATTCGATTGTATATAGATAAGTGTTATGTTACATATGATGACCAGCATTCAATACGTTCCGTGTTAATTTGAAATTATTTAATTTATCATATCATATAGGTCACAAAAATAATCACAGTATTTTTGTATATATTTATCATATTTGTTAAAATGTATTTCGTAGCAGTTAAAAACTATAAAAATTATTATTCTTATAAAGAAGGTCTCATATACTGATAAAATACACTCATTCTCCGTTACAAAAATATTCAAATTATAATGTTCTCGCAATATACAATATATCATTATTATTTAATTACTTTATTTTATATTTTTGTACAAAGATGAGGACTTTTTGCACGCACGAATTCTCATGAAACGAATGAATCAGTAATATACCTATATATAAACTAAGAGGCATCCTGATAGAATATATAAAAAAACTGTTATTTTTTCGACGTATATATCATATAAGCTTTAGAATCACGTTGTTATTTAAATATTCATAGAACAATCGTATTGAATATCTTTTATTCAATAACAGTAGGAATTTATTTTAGCAATATATCTCTCTAGCAACATTACGACCATATGTGATATATATTTATTTGTCAGTATTAAAATTTATATGATTAATTTTGACACGTTTTATGTCACATCGTCGATGATCTCTGCTGGACTTTCTGTTTAAACTATATAATATTATGGTTACGAAAAAAACGTAACTAAAATAATTCATATAATTTTTTATATTATATATAGATACATAATTACATTATATTATATATAGATACACAATTTAAACGTATGCAATATTGGTTATTAGGTCTTCTTTATAATAGTAATAATTTTTATAGTTTTTAACCGTTACGAAATACATTTGGACAAATGTGATAAATACATAATTATTTTCCAAAAATACTATAATTATTTTTATGACCTATATGATATGCTGAATAAAATCCTTTAAAATGAACACGGAAGATGTTCAATGCTAGTTGTCATGTAATAATTTCAATTATTCTATACTTTTAAAACATACAAATTTTAATTCAATATAAAAATTAATTGGCTATTCTATATGTTAATTAATTTATAATTAAAAATAACTGGTCTAATTGACTTTCTTGGTATAAATTACACTGTATTTTTTCTAATTATACCATCCTATGAGCTTGATCAATCTTAAACGTAATTAATCAAATAACTTAAATAAACATAAAAATAACACGACAAATTTAGGTGGCACAAATGTGCATAATAAGCAGACACCAACACTCACAAATATTAAATATTATGTCACTGAATATGGAATTAATTGCGTGATGTAATCGCATTACCGGACGCAAAATTAAATTACCGCAGGTAATTCGAGAGATTATTTTTGAAAGAGATACGCTGGCAAAATACGGATTCGACCTAAACACAAACATTTTATATTCCATTCGCATTTATTCAAGCAACTATGACTCGATTTATGCCGTCTAAAGCTCGCGAAAATTAAATAAATATAAATTAATTCAAAGCAATTGTTATTCCATCATATATGTTAAAAATTTTGCTCAGTAAATATAAATAGATAACATTATAACATAATTTGGAGAGGATTAATTACTTAAATTTCAATTTATCAAATACACTAATTAAACAAAGATGGATATTAGATGTGTAACATAAATAAGGTGTATCATCTTCCATAGATTTTTCATTACTGAATCCGAATTCGACAGCAAAATTTTTGTATCATACCAAGTTTTCCAAAAAATTGAGGTCAAAGGTATAAAAAAATACGTTTTTAATCATTTTTGAAACAATAGTTGCAGATAAACTTCTAGAGACATTCTAGAGACTTTCAATAAGAATTGTATTAAAGCTTGAACCTTGTACTTTAAAATCATCATAATAGATATAATATTACACCTGCCTATCTTGATCACTAATAGATTTTCGCTGTGTGCACGCGCTTACTACTTCCTAAATATTCGTCATATGCCGTTCAGGGAATTTTACAATTGCGTATCCAAATAAGTCTCCAAACTACATTTGTTTATCCGATATTAACTTTGCTTGTTCTGAACTGAAATGAAAAAACTTAATGTGAAAAAATTTCACTACCAGATTCGGATTCAGCGATGAAAAATCTACACCCAAAATTGCACGTATAAATCCACTTGTGCCAAGCGTTGTCTTTTTCGCAATTCATTCTTGCGTAATTAACAGATGTTTATTTTTTCCGTTTATCATTTAAATTACTCTCGTTTTAATTACAGTCTCTAAATCTTGCACAAACGTGGCACAAAATATTTTCTGTGTCATTGCAAGAGAGTTGTTTGATGGCAATAAATAGCATATGTTTGCGTGCGTGCGTGCGTGTGTGTGCGCGCGCGTGTTGCGTGTGCAATTGTTATTATTTGTTCTGCCAACTTGGAGAACAAGTGTGCTAACGTACTATTGTATGCAATGTCGATTACAGATTCCCAATCAGTAAACATTGGATCTAATGATTAATTTGCTGATTGCGGCGAGAACGCATTATGCAACCAACCGCACTGATCGTTTACATACTATCGATTAATCCGAAATTAACCTAACAATTTTTCAGCATACAAGCTTATGACCGGTAACAAATGGAATCATTTTGATCGTAAATCTATGCCTTAAGTTCTTCTGCGCACAAGAAAGAAAAATATTAGAAACAGGAATAAATATTAATATTTCAATCTATTCGAAACCGATTTTATCAGAATACATTTCTGATAGATTGAAATCTTTATAATATTTATTCTTATTCCTAATATTGTGTTTTACTTACCCCTTACACCTTACGATAATATAATTATTTTTTTATGCGTTAATGTAATAAGATATTTAAAAATATAAGAATATAAAATTCTTAAATATTTCAATTAAATACGTATTTACTGCTCATTATATGCAATCAAAAATCTAATAATTTGTAACGAATTAATTCTACTTCTTACTTAGATCTGTATTTATACAAAAGATATCAATAGAATGCATTCGTATTTTGTACATAAGTATTATTTACAATTTTTAAGGATTTTTTAATTATTGAATTAATTTTACACATCACACGTTTGAATAATATAGTTCATTTTGTAACATATAATTTTGTATAATATTTCAAAAAATATCATCATCATTTTACCACAATCATTTTATCAATTGAGCGACAGCTATTAAGTAGCAATATACTGTTTATGAGAGTTTTCATTATCTTTATATAAGACATGCAAACGAAAAGTATAAGAACATTTGTTTCATTTATTCTAACTGTCGAATTTATGGCAACGGATCATATTGTGTAATTATTGCCGCCATCGATAAAAAACGAAATAATTGTGGTTTTTTTTTTATATGGATTTTAAAGCAATTAGCAATAAACATCTCGCTTGGCTTTGTTTATATGTATTATTTTATCAAAAAACAACGTTTTAGTCAAATTATTAACTAAAGCTAATGCTTCATTTAAAAATATACGTCCTATGACATGCATGTAGTATTTCATACTTTTACAAACAAAAATAATCATGCCGATATTCATTCATAAACATTTTATCGGCAAATTATATATATCAATATTAGTAGCATTAAATATATCCTTTAACGATAAATTCATATACAGCTATCCGACAAATATCGCGTATCTCGTTATCAACGAAGTAAATATTCATGTGTAATTAATTTTATTAACCGAATAACTACAAACTGATTCAAATAACTGACTTCATGCTTTATTCTCTCTTTTATCGTATAAATTGATACTATATTTCAATACACTTTCTAATACTTTATTTGCTCG